AAGTTTTTCACAATCTTCAAAGTTAAATATGTATGTACTAGGACCCAGTAATTCCACTCTTAAGTATTTATATAAAAAAATCCCCATATCCATAAAAAACCTAGTATACATGGATATTCACAGCTTTATTTATAAAATTCCAAAATGAAAATAATCCGATTTTCCTTCAGCTTGTAAACAGATAACAAATGTAGTACATTCATACAGTGAAACAGTATGCAAACTATGTGAGGCTGGAGGTATACCTCAGTGGCGTGGTATATACTTAGGGGTTCAAGGCCCAGTAGCAGCAGTAGCAGCAGCACCATCACCACCAGCACCATCATCACAACACCACCACCACCAGAAACAAACTGCAATTATGTACAACAAGATGGACAATTTCCAGAGACATTATACTGAGTGAAAAAGTATACAGTATAATTACTTTTATACACAATGTATAATAAACAAAACGAATCCACACTGTTATGAATCAGGTTAGTGGTTCATTGCAATAGAAGGGTTGATTGCAAAGGGACACCAAGGAATATTCTGGAACATTCTGAGAGAATAAAAATGTTCTCCATCTTGGGCTGGGGATGCAGCTCAGTTGGTAGAGCATTTTCCTATGCACAAGGCCCTAGGCTCAATCTCCAGCACTACAACAGACAAGAGTTCTACAACATCTTCGAGTGGTGATTAAATAAGTATATCCAGCGGCCCAAAGTCACCAGTCTGTATACTTAAAATACATGACTTTGGGCCAGGGATTTAGCTCAGTGGTTCCGCCGCTTGCCTCGAAAGCACAAGGAAATGAGTTCGATCCCCGGTACCAAAAAAGCAAAACAAAACAAAAAAACCCCCATGACTTTTTGGGACAGGGTCTTGGTATATAGTCCAGGCCAGCTTTGAACTAATGATCCTACTGCCTCAGTCTCCTGAGTGCTGAGATTACAGGCATGTACCACCATACTGGCTAAAACAATCTATTATTTTATTTATAGATATCATACCACAGTAAGAGGATTTTTTAAAATCTTGGCTCCAACACTGTAACAATATAAGGGAAAAAAAATCTTCTACATGTGGGTCCTCTTCTCATACCAATCCTTCTCCTACCTTTTAAGCAGATCTGATTACAAACAAAAGAGGTGAAAGTATAGCTAAAGACGTCAAGATTAGTCTAGCTAAATAGTCAGCTTTAATCTCTTTCACCTGCTATTCAGAATGGCTGAACCCACAAGTACACAGCTTTCTCATAAAAGGGAAAAACGCAGCTTTCACCAACTGTCCAGTATCTGTGGGCCACCCTGAAACATGCAACACAACATTGCAACATGATTGTCTGACAGCAAGAATAAAACTCCAATGTGCAATAACAGACTAAAAACCTAATGACCTTTTCACAGTAACAAATCTAAATACCAAATACCAACAACCATCTAAAAGCTGTTATATTCAAATGGAAGCATAGGCTGGCCTCAGTAGTGCATGGCTATAATCCCAGCACTCGGGAGGCTGAGGCAGGAGGATAGCTGCAAGTTCGAGGCTGACCTAGGCTACACAGTGAGTTCAAGGCCAGCCTGAACTACATATACATAGCAAGACCCTGCCTAAAAAAAGACAAAAAAAAAATCAGTCAAACAGAAGAATAGGGCTGAACAATTCCGTACTAGAATGGAGAAGA